GATAGGGAATGGCAAAGGACACACTAACAAAGGAGATTAATCAGAACTGGCTTTGACAAGCACTGTGGCAACTGGACAATTAAAACAGACTTTCAAGGGGGGGGGAAAGAAGAATGAACTGGGGAGAAGGGTAGAGAAAATAGTGCAAAAGTGAATGAATGAACACCCCAAATCTCTGTAAATGTTCATTAAAATTAAAACAATTTAATTTAAAAAAAGAAACAAAAAACCCAAAAAAACCCCAAAGAGTGCTACTAGTTCACCCACTTCTTGGTAGCCTCTGCAAAATGTGTTATCTTCTATTTTTTTGTTTTACAAATGCTGGCCAATCTTTGGAAAGAGCTCATTAATATTTTTAAAGTTTGATTTTTTAAAATTTCTACTCTTTATCCCATAACATGAAATTACATGAAATGTTATTAGTACTGTGAGTGCTTTCACATTTAACCATAAAATTTAATGCTTCTATTTAGATTTATCATCTGTGAATATGTCTTCTAGCAAATTACATGTTTTCAATAAACTTCGAGAAAGCCCTTACAGTGAAAACACTTTAAAACATAATGTAGAAAATCCAAGAGCATCATACAGTGGCAAATCAAGGTAAGTTTGAAAAAAAATTTTTTTATTAAAGTAATTGGGACATATACATCATAAAAATTTAGAAAGTACAAAAAACTGCAAATAATAAACAGGCATTCGTATTCTATAACCAAAGGCCAAGTGTGAAAAATGATACATTTTATTACTTTTAAATAACTTTTTTTTCTTGGTAATGATCATATCTGATCACTTGCTATGCATCTGAGAACTGGACAATGAATAAAGATGGCAGGAGAAGAATTAATGCCTTTGAGTTGTGTTGCAGAAGAATGCTGAACATCTCATGGACTGCCAAAAGAACAAAGAATATGTGTTGGAGAGGGTGCAGCCAGAGTACTCTTTGGAGTACTCTTTGCCTCACATACTTTGGGCATGTTTCTAGGAAGAGCTTTTCCTTGGAGAGGGACGTGATGCTCAGAAAGGTAAAGGATCGGAGAAGGAGAAGAAGACCCCTTATCAAGTAGATTGAGATGGTGATTGTCACAAAGGTCTATAATGCATCAGAAATTATGAGGATGGCACAGGATAGGACAACATTCTGTTTTTCAAAGACTTGTTACAGGTTGTACTTGACTCAACAGCACTTAACAACAACAACAACAACAACAACAACCGTTTAAATTTGAAATATATATTTTTCTCTATTCATGTATATGTTTTTAATTACAGTTACAATCCATAGAATGGATAAGAAGTAATGTTTGATAAGTTATATATTATAGAAGGAAGAAGAAAAGCAGTCTCTTCCCGTCCAGTTTACTACCTCTAAAAACCCACTAAAGGGTCTTCTATAAGTTATTTCCAAATCAGTGGTACAGAACAACAACAACAATATATTATAAATGTTGTTGTTATGTGTCGTTGAGTCATTTGCGACTCATAGCGACCCTTTGTACAACAGCCCTAAACCCTGCTCTATCCTGTGCCAATCACATTGCCTCTGACACACCCAACCAGATTACCCTAGTCACTGAATCAATCCACCTCATAGAGGGTCTTCCCCTCCTGCGCTGTCCCTCTACTCTACCCAGCATGATGTCCCTCTCCAAAGACCTGTCTCTCCTTACAACATGTCCAAAATATGTCAGACCAAGCCCCAGAATCCTTGCCTCCAAGGAGTAGCTTGGTTTAACCCTCTCTAGGATGAATCTGTTTGTTTTCTTGGCAGTCCTTGGTACATTCAATACTCTTCTCCAGGACCACAGCTCAAAGACATCTATTCTCCTTCTGTCCTCCCTAGTCATTGTCCAGCTCTCTGATGCATAACAAGTGATTGCAAAGACCATGGCCTGTATCAGGCGCACCTTCGTCTCCAAAGAGACACCGTTGCTCTTGAGTATTTGAGGTCCCTAACAGCAGACTTTCCCATCGCAATATGTTTTTTTATTTCCTGGCTCCTGGTGCCAAGAGTGTTGACTGTGGAGCCGAGCAAACTGAAGCTGTGAACAATCTCAATCTCTTCGCCATCAATCCTGATGCTTCCAATTATAGTATAGATACTTTTTACAACTTATGAATCACGTGGTATGTTTTTGTGTATTTAAAATTATTTCTTAGGGAAATAATTTTTAAAATAGGATTATAAGAATAATTTTGTAGATAAGTAAAAATATGCTTTCTAATTTTAATAAACAATTCATAATGTAAAAAAGTATAATACACATTGTTGTTGCTGCTGTTATATACCACTGAGTTGACTACAACTCAGACTGTGGCATGAAGGATATCATTGCTGATGTTAGATAGATAATAGCTGAAGGCAGAGAATACCAGAAGGATGTTGTTTTATGTTTTATTGACTATGTAAAGGCATTTGCCTGTGGATCATAACAAAGTATAGATAACATTAAGAATAGGAATCTCAGGACACTTAATTGAGTTCATAACCTATACCTAGACCACAAAACAGTTGTCTGAAGAAAGTAAGGAAATACTGCTTAAAAGGTGTGTATCAGGGTGGTATCTTTTCTCCATACTTATTCAATGTGTATGCTGAACAGATAATTTGAGAAGCAATATGAAGAAGAATGTAGCATCAGGATTGGAGGATGACTCATGAACAACCTATGTTATACAGAGGACACAGCCTTGCTTGTTGGAAGTGAAAAGGATTTGAACCACTGCAGAAGATCAAACTACAGTCTTCAATATGAATTGCATTTCAACATCAAGAAAACAAAAATCTTCACCTCTAGATCAATAGATACCATAATTGTTGGAGAAAAGATTGACATTGTCAACAATTTCATCTTGCTTGGATCCACAATAAATACCCTTGATACCAGCAGTCAGAAAATAAAAATCTTTTGACATGGGAAATCTGCTATCACGACCCTCTTCAAAGTTCTCAAGAACAATGCTATCAGTTTAAACACTAAGGTGCACTTTTGTAAACCCTGATCTTGGATCCATAGTCAACAGCCATGACAGGGACAGTAAAAAAAATAAAAGAAAGTGTTTAATTGGTAAAATCTACAGTGAAAAGTAACTTAAAAGTACTAAAGAGCAAGGTTGCCAGTTTAAAAACTAAGGTGCGTCTTACCCAACTTACGACATTCTGATTGATTCATATGCCTCTGAATGTTGGATTTATTGGAATTATTTATTAATAAATAAGAAAGAAAGAAATGCTTTCATTGCAGCTAGAATGTCTTCATTACAATTGCCTCTTGATCATATGGTACTTCCTGAAATATTTCAGTGTCAATAAATTATTGTTGGTATATTGAGTCTGTAAATTCCCACCATCGTCTTTTGATGCTTCATAGATCATTGAAGATTTGGTGCATAATATCTGTAAATATTACGACTCCAGGCTTGCATTTGTTTTTCAATTCTTTCTGCTTCATAATTGTTGAGTGAGTTTTCCTCTTATAGTCTCTGACTACAGCTCTCTGCCTATTCCATCAGAATACTTAATCTTCTTGATTTGCTCTTTGAAATCCTGTGTTCAGCTTTTACTTCAGTATCTCTTCCATTAATTAATTAATTAATCAATCAATTAATTAATTTGCCTGCTTCTCAGTGCCCTAGTGCAATTAGAGTGTCTTTTGACATCCATTTTTATTTTTCTTTCTCCTCTGTCTTTGAAATGACTTTTTGGTCTTTTAATGAATGATATCTTTGATGCGATCCCACATCTCATCCCAGTCATCCTTCATTGGTGTTCAATGCCTCAAACCTATTCTTCAAGTGACTTTTTTTAAATTCAGGTGGGATAAACTCAAGGTCATATTTATGTTCTCATGGATTTATTTTAATTTTCTTCAGCTTCAATTTGAACTTGAACCTGAGTAATTTTTTTTACATAAGTACAATTTTCATCAAAATTTAAATGCCATTTTTTGTATTCCATATCCTGTAATTTTTCTGTGATATTGTATATATCACATTGTATATAGCATTTCTAATTAAAATTTATCTATTTGGACTTGCTGAACATTTTAAATCTGTGCGTTATGTTGTCCATCAGTCTTGAAAAAAAAATGTGTGTTGTCCCACCTACCATAGACTCTACAGGACATAACCGAGGGAACTCTGGCACCCTAACAATAAGGAGTTGTACTGTCAACCTAAAGGTTTACAATTTTAATCCATCAGCTGCTCCACAGAAAAAAAAGATGAGAAATCTCCCATACCATTTGCTGCCACCTGCTGGTGGATCGGCTGTCATTCAGGCCTGACTCTATGACACATAACAGAATTTAGCTATAGGATTTTCTAGCCTTTAATGTTTACAGAGAGCAAATCCTCAGGTGCTCCTTTTTCCTGTGGAGTCACTTGAAAATTTGAATCGATGATCTTTCAATAAGCAGCCATATGCTTTTCTATTGTGCCTTCCTGAACAATTATCAAGTATTATTTCTTCAAATATTATTTGTACCCACTTTCTCTTTTTTTATTTAAATATATTTCCGATTTTTTCTCATTTCCATTTTAATATTTTTTCTCATTCTATTAAATATATTATTCTATAATTGTCTTTCATTTTTAATGTGACTGCCTCTCCTACTGTTGTTTTTGTCCCTTGAGTTTTCTGTGACCCAGTGGCAAGAAGCTGCACTGCAATCCTGAAGGCATGCGGTTCAAATCCACCAAGCGCTCCATGGGAGAGGGATGAACATTCTCCTCCCATGTGTTTAGCTGCTTCTGAAAATCTTCTGGAGCATCAGCTATGGGTCAGTCCGGACTTGATGATACACAGCAATAAGTAATCATACTTGTTATGTTTTTTTAATCTGTTATGCTTCATGATAGACAGACAAAAGATTGAAGTTGTTATGGTATTTAATTTTACTTAGACTTACAGTCAATACCTAAAGGAACAGCAGTCAGGAATTCAAAAGCCATGCTACATTGGGAATATCTGCTAGAGAAAGTATGTATGTCAGTATGCACCTAAGGAAAGCCATGGTATTTTTCAATTGCTTTGTATGCGAAAAGTTGGACAATGAAGTACTAAAACTGAAAAAAGAAATGATGATTTTGAATTATGATGTTAGTGAAGTGTATTGAATTATCCATGGACCAAACAAATCTGACTCAGAGGAAGTGCTACTAGGGAGTTTCTTAGAGGTAAGGATGGTGAAACGTAGTGTCACATACTATGAGTGTGTTTTAAGGAGGAGTCGATTCTTAGAAAAAGAGATCTGGTAAAAGTAGAGGATCAGAGAAAGAGAGGAAGACCACAGTGAAATGGATTGATGAAGTGATTAAGCAATGGGCTTGAGCATGACTGAGATCGTGATGGCATAAGATAAGACAACATTCGTTATCTGTTGCTTATAAGGTTGATATGAGTTGTTGTTGAATTGATGCCACATAACAGCAACAATTCATCTTACATACTCTTCAGTCATTTGTGTTCAATGCCTTGAACCTATTCCTAAAATTATCTTGAAATTCAGATGATGGAATAGATTCAAGCAAGATCATATCCTGTCTCCTGTGTACTTACTTAATTTTCTTTGGCTTCAATTTGAACTTAGTTATGAGCAGTT